CATTCGCTTGACATACCGGCGCCCAATTGTACTCGCATTTGAGTCCGTTATTCACATTCTCGCGGCCGTCTGTTCAGAGGGCATATACCGTGAGAATGACGGGAACGGTAGGAAATGCGAAGAATATAAGGCAATAGACTGTCAGTCCGATGCTACCTGTGCTAAGGGCACGGAGACGTGTGTGGACGGCAAGTGCCGGTGCGCTCCCAGCCATCGGTGGGATAAGGCGTCCGAGAAATGCACGAGTGTATGGTCTCTGGCATTGATGAGCGTAAGTGCGATAAGAGCACCGGTAGATGTGTTTGTGTAGACGGCCGCGAGAATGTGAATAACGGACTCAAATGCGAGTACAATTGGGCGCCGGTATGTCAAGCGAATGGCGCCTGTATGGACGACCAGGAGCTGTGTGTGGACGGCAAGTGTAGGTGCGCTCCGGACTTTAAATGGGATGATAGCCAACGGAAATGTGTGGTTCAGGTATGCGGAGTGGACTCCCAGTGTCATAAGGAGTGGGATGAGCACCGGGCATGTGTGGACAGTCACTGTCTGTGCTCGAGGGATACCTACCGAGAGAACCTGGGGAACGGTAGGAAATGCGAGGAGCACTCCATTAACTGTAATACCGATACTAACTGTGCGGCCAAAGAGGTCTGCGCTAATGGGAAGTGCCGGTGCGCACCCGACACTCTGTATGACACTACCGCTCAGGCGTGTGTCGACTACCAGTGCTCTAAGACAGGCGACTGCGAAAAGTCGTGGGACAGGTGGCGCACCTGTAGCTCAAGTAAATGTGTTTGTAGTTCATCGGACTTTGTGGAGAACCCTAATAATGGACGGGTATGTGAGGGAAAGTCGGGTGGACCCGAATGTAAGGCTGGCAGTGAGTGTACGGGTGGGGAAGGATGGGAGGTGTGTGTGGACGGGAAGTGTCGGTGCGCTCCTAACTATGCGTTTAATACAGGAAAGTGCGATAAGTTTTCGTGTACTAAGAATAGCGATTGCGAGCAGTCGTGGGATAAGAATCGCACCTGTAGTTCGTCGGGTGATTGTGTCTGTGCTCCTGATTATCAAGAAAATGAGGGGAACGGTAGGAAATGTGAGCCGAAGTCTAATAGTAGTGCAAATTCATTGAGTTTATTGTCAATTATTTCATTTATTTTAATGTTTTATATAAATATGTTTTAATTAAATGTACACGATATGAATATAGTGTTACAAATTATAAGTTATAATTTTTGTTATATTTAAAAATAAAGTTATTTAAAAATAAAGTTTTATATTTATAAATAAATAAATAGGCTTAACACTACTTACATTAATTATCTTAAAATATTTATTAATAATCACAATGTGGAACCAAAGTTTAAGATTGTTGTTCAATTATTGTTGTTTTATAAAACTTATTTTAATTTAAATATAAATTAACACATAATAAATTAAAAAGTTACTAATCAAACTGTTTAGCTAAATAATTATCGATAATATTGGCCATACGTGTTGTGATTTGAGTTAACGGTTTGAATACATTGTTGACAAATGAGAGGTAATGGTACAGGAATTGGTCACTTTTTAAGTGCGACTGTCCACCTATACCGCCTATACCTCCCAACCCTCCCAACAATGGGCCTAATAAATCGAGAATAGGTTTTAACAAAGTAAGTAAACTGGTTAATAGGCCGGATAGGTCTCCCAGGCCTGCACGCAATTGTGATCCTTGAGGGTCAGACAGGTCTGTTGGAGATACCGGTGCTAACCGTCGATCCAATTCCGGCACCTGGCGCTCGTATTCCGATAATTTTCCATCAATAACATCATTACAATTAGTAATTGGTGTGCACCATGCACAATTAATTATAAGCAACAAAGTTATTACTTTTATAATACACAACATGATGTAGTTGAATTATTGTTTAAAATATTTAAAGTTTAAAACTAGGAAATTAAAATTTCAAATATAAATGAATTTATATAAATGTGCAACATGTTATATTAAATTAATTTTTAATAGCATATAATTTTAAAACATATTAAATCGTAAATATTTTAAATATGTTTTGAAAGTTTAACGAACTGTTGCCTGTATTAAATATTTTAGATTAAATAAATGATAGATACAGTAGATATCCGTTTGGGATTATTGTGATTTTAATAAATATCTAAATACCGAAGCAATTGCTTGTACAATGAGTACGTTTAAATTATTTTATTATTAATTATCAAAAATCTCTTTAATGCAAAAATAATAAACATTATAAAGTTAATAATCGTAATGTTTAGATAAATAATTATCCAGAATATTGATCATACGTTTCATGATTGGGTTCAAGGGTTTGAGTACATTACTGGCAAATGAAAGGTAATTATACAGGAATTGATCGCTTTTTGTATGTGCCTGTCCACCAATACCTCCCAAACTTCCCAATAATCCTTTTAATAAATTAACAACCTGATCTAACAGCCCAGTTAGCGGGTCCAACATGCCCTTCAATTGACGTAATTGAATCCCTTGAAAGTCCGACGTAGCTGTTGGTGATACCCGTGAGACCTGTCGGTCCAATCCGGTAACTTGGCGATCGTACTCCGATAAATGTTCGTTGACAACATCAACACAATTACTAATCTCAGTGCACCATGCACAATTAATTATAAGCAGCACAGTTATAATTTTTATAACAAACATAGTGAAATGTTCTTGAGTTTAAATAAAAATAATACTAGTTAAGTAAAAATAAAATTATATATAATATATGATATATAAATAGGTAACATGTGATTTTAAAATAACTTTTAATTTATTGTACATGTATATAATAAACACATTAACCCGTTAATCTTTTAAATATGTTTTGAAAGTTTATTGAACTAACATACATGAATTATATAATTATATAACTGTAATTATATAATATTTATAGCATGATGTACAATTATAAAGTTGTATTAGGTTTGTTACTAATTCTAAATCTAAAAGTTCATCTGAATATTTTTACCCAGGTTAATTTTGTGCAATATACAACTAAAATAAATATAATAATTTTATTATTATTAATAATACCGTAACCATTTCGTTTTGCACTCTGACCCATGACCCATACAATAAAAATTGTATTCAACTAACTCTCCCATTGGTTGCCTGAGCCGTAGCATTAATAATGTCAGGCTTGAGTAGAGAACACACTGTATATTATAACATATATAAATTACAATCTATATTAAAGTAATAATTAAAATATAAATGGCAACATTTAATTATACATACTATCATTGTAAACATTCATAGGCATCTCGCAAGTTTTATCCTCAATACCATCCTGGATGAGCTTTAAACCATTATTTGTCATTACGATCGTTGTTTAGTAACTGTAATAGTATACTTTTTAACAAAAATTATTTACCATTTCAGTGTTTTTAAATTAATTATTTACATTATTATTTAAAATATTTAACTTTTCAGAAAAAAATTCAAAAATTATTTCTGAATTTTTAATTGTGATACAATATTTTTAACAAATATAAAATATACAATTTTAGATTGCATAGCTTATTTAACTTATATAATACTTGTATAATTCAAAATAATAGTGTATATTAATATACTTTAAAAAATTTATTTGTATAATTAAGGTTTCTTTGAGAGAGTTATTTAAGTGTCATGCTAATTTTGTCCATTATCTCTTGAGCCATTAAGTCTATGGTACTCTGGGTATCGACACTTTCCAGTTGAATGTTATTGTTTTCATCCTGGTTGTTATATGAATTGTAATGTAAATATTAAACTTTACAAATACACCTATTATTATTTGATATACTAATATCTATTTTACAAAATTCTCTATTCAAATAGTAATTACCTTTGATCCAGGCAAAAAGTATACATCACGCGATTTCTCCATAACGCTATCCAGGTCATCAATAGTCTCAATGTTAACCGGTTTAATCAAAACCAATTTCCCCGTCCTTTTCGCCCATTTCTTTGCGATCGCGAGTTTCAGTCGATTTGAAAACTTCTTGCGTTTATTGAGTCTATACTCCGATAGCATACGAATCCGGGCTATCATTATGTGAAACATTTCCTCCATATCTGTGGCCACCAGTNGAGTTTCAGTCGATTTGAAAACTTCTTGCGTTTATTGAGTCTATACTCCGATAGCATACGAATCCGGGCTATCATTATGTGAAACATTTCCTCCATATCTGTGGCCACCAGTCCTTTGCCGGCGAAGTCCACGATCTCGTTCACCCATACCTTAACCTTAGCCTTAACATCCATTTCCTTTTTCATTTCGCGTATTATTTTGTCTTTAAATGCTTTGGGAATACTGCCCGACATTATAGTTATAATAAACTCCATCACCATATCATCGGTCAACTCCTCATCGCAATAGTGAACATCGTTTATCAGGTCAACGATAACCACCTTATCTGCCATCCCTTTCACTAGTAATTTACCGCAAATGAGGGCAGTGTCCAAATAGCCCACCACATCGTACCTCCCTTTTGGCTCAATGTGTTTCAGTAGATTGAAATAATGATGGCCAACCTCTTTAAGAGTGGACAGTTGGCACACTTCGCGGGTCCAATTAAGGCCAATCACCGGTCGGTTTAACTTTTGTGCCAACTCTTCAAACATTGCAAAATTTAACGATAGGGTTGGCATCAGATAAACCGGCCTTCCCTTCGTCACACTATTAAGCGCTACAATAGGATCGGTAGGTATAATGTACTTCTGTTTCAGCAGCATAGCCCTGCCCTTTTTAATCTCCTTCATGTGCTTTTGTACCTTACTCAATTTACCATCCTGGTAGTCTTTTAGCATACCGATCGTAATGCTCTTAATGTGATTGAGAGTAAACTTCATATTCCACTCCTTTTCCATTCCCTGTTGAAACTCTATGGCAAACATGGACTCCAACCCAATCTCACCCAGGGTTAGGTGATCGGGGGTGGAGTCGGGGTCGATGCCCAGTGCCCGCCATAACTCTGTGATCATTCGCTTTTCCTTATCTCCCGATTCCTGTTGTTTGTCAGCTTTAATCTGCGTTAATAATTATCCAGGTTAGATATCATGGACAATGTGTGCCATAAAGTAAATTATATAATATATTACCCAGCAAAGAGTTTTAACAATGTAAATATAAGAATTATAAAATACATAAATATTAATAGAGTATCAATATTGGAAATCTATCATATTTATAATGCTAATAAACACTATGTTTACTGTATTTAATATATTGCAAGTCTATACTAATACTACATTATTACATACAATAGATGTTACGATCGGTTGTCTAACTGACAATAATTTGTCCAAAACCTCGAAACACGAGTTGATTCGCTGTTTCTTATATGAGGTGAGCGACAGAATCTGATCGGAATGCTCGAGAGCTCCCACATCACCGATGGGTCCCCACTGTATGGCCAGTCCGTGCAGTCCATCCCTGCGCCTCACTTCGCAAATGCGTTCACATATGGAGTTCCCAAACCCATAGTTAGTCTGACCGGCATTTCCTTTACCACACGATACCGATGAGAATACGACAAAATAATCCAATTTATAGTCCAATTTTCGGGTCAATTGATCCAAATTCGTGAATATTTTATGTTTGGTATCAATAGACGAACAAAACTTATCAAATGTTAACTTCTCTATCAAACAGTCGTTTAATTCAAGCGCCAAATGAAATACCCCTCCAATGGGTCCCAACATTTGGGCCTCTTTTAGGAGTTGTTGTATGCCTTTAATAGTAAACCCATCGGCAGTCGAGACAATCCATTGGGACTCAAAAAACTTTACTACTTTTGAATACATTCGGAAACGATTATAAATAAATCTCTGATAATCCGTTTTGATCCCTGATCTCGAAGTAGTGATGAATTTTCGGGCACCAAAATATTGCATCCATGGGATCAGTTCCATACCCATCCCTCCCAAACCACCGGTTATTATATAGACTTTGTTTGGATCGAAGAATGTCTTAATATTAGACACCATATCGACGGCCGGTTTAATGGCTTTCAGTGGCTGTCTATCCATCTCTTCGTCTCTCATTTTCAAGACTACTTTCCCGATGTGTTTACCGGTTGTCATGAATCGGAACGCCTTCTCGGCCTCCGACGCCTTAAACACCGTATAATTGATTGGTTTAACGCATCCATTCTTCGAGTTCTTGTGAACCCAATCGTAAAACTCTGGAAAGAAATGCTTGCCGTCGAGGAGTACAACCATATCGAAGACAATACCAATGAATTGGATATTTTTCGTGAAGTCAAACATTCCGATCTGTTTGTTCTGAATCATATCAAAACGTCCCAACTCTACGAACCGGCCGTTATTTGCCACACATTGATAGCTAGCGTCCAGTTTGTCGCCGGACAGGGAGTTCAGTACGATATCAACTCCGCGTCCTTTCGTCGCTTTCATGACGTGATTCTTGAAGAGAATATCTCTTGAGTTGAATATCCGGTTCACAGGAATGTTATACTCCTTCACAAGGAATTGCTTTTTCTCTTCCGTCCCAACCGTCACATAGATATCGCACCCGTAGTGGAGA